GTAAAATGCGCATTCCTACAGTGATAATTGAGTGACTCAATGTTTTCTCTTATAAGCCTACCTCGTACCATTTCGTACCGATTATTTAGCGGTGTAATATTTTGCCCATGCAATAAAATATTTTCGAGACCCCTTGCTATGTGCAGCTTTCATTTCAGCTAACAAGACACGCGTGTGTGACTAAAAGCGCATTACGACGGTCGATCCACGCGCGTTGCCTTCGCCGCGAGCCCCCGATGGCCTTCCTTGGCGACGTCACGAGTCTTCTCGGAGGTGTTGCGTCGGTCCAGCGGAAGATGCGACGGTATCTGGAGGGGAGAGGGAGCACGGCCTGGCCGGAGTTGCCCAGGTGCCTGACCCGGATAACACAGGGATTGAAAGAAACGTATTCCCGCGTTCGCCACAAGCGCACGAAAACGCGTGCGCTCGAAAGAGTCGCCATGTCGCGAACCTGCCGAGGTTCGTCCAGGTTCGACTTACTCCTAACGGTCTAAACTTTGGTGCACGAAAACTTAAACTGAGCTCTTGGCAGAATGTTTGTTTTTATATTGCGTAAACGTCGGTAATTCTTATATAAAATAAATTATAAATTACTAGTTTCCCAAAATTCGGAACGTGTGCCTCCAAGTCGAGCTGCCCGACGACGAAACCAGTCGAAGCTGGAGAAAAGTTGGCGCCACCCCAACCACAAGCTTGCCAGTGCACGATAACGCGCAGGTGGAAGAGCCAGAGGTTGCGAACTGCTAAACATGATGAAAAACAGCCTTAGATAAACAGGGACGACGAACGGGTAAAAGACAGGACAACGGCTGTCCAGGACAGGACAACGGCTGCTGACACGTGAACAAACAAAAAAGAGAAACCCCGCGAGTGAAATATGAGACGACGGGGGTGGACAAAACCCTAAAAATAGTCAGAGTGCAGGCGAGCTGGTGTAAGTTGAACATGATAGTAAACCTGAGACTGGGGCAGAAAGAGAACACAACAGAAGGTAGTAAAAGAGGAGGCAACGTCTCAAACTCAGCTGCAAAGTTTATTTCGAACACGCTTTATATACCCCATCTCCAACGCCGTCTCTACAAAAAAAAAAAAAAAAAACACATGTCTTTGTCCTGTTGTCATGTGTGTGTCTGTTTTTTTTTTTGTTTTTTTTTTTAAGAGACGGCGTATTGAGATGGGGTATATAAAGCGTGTTCGAAATAAACTTTGCAGCTGAGTTTGAGACGTTGCCTCCTCCTTATACCTTCTGTTGTGTTCTCTTTCTGCCCCAGTCTCAGGTTTACAATCATGTACAAAACCCTGTTCTTTGTTCCGGACACTCAGAAAAGCGGGCAGCGACGAAAAATGGCCCTTCCAAGCAGTGGCGTCACGAGGGTCAGCGGCACCCGTAGCAGTAGCCCGCCGCGACAGCCCCCTGAGTGCTGCACCCGGGGCGGTTCCCCCCCTCCTCCTCCTCCTCCTCCTCCTCCTCCTCCCCCCCCCCCCCCCCCCTTGTGACGCCACAGCTTCCAAGAACTGCCGCCAAGAACTCATTACAATATTTCTCCAAAGAAGGCAAAAAAGAAACGATGGCCCTACGCATCATTTTCCTCTTTTGTCGTCTGAAGGATGCGTATTTTTCTGTAGCGAAGAAATTAAGAAAACCGCGCCACGACAAGTAAAGGCTTTGGCGCCATTTCGCAGCATGTAACGGAAGCGGACGAGACGACGAGAGCAGACGGCATTGCGCCACCACCAGAGCTAGCGACGCGCTGTGAAAAGCCTCACTGACGGATCGACGCGATCGCCAACTATTCTCATCTTGACGGGCGAACGGCAACGGCCGATCACTTCGCCAAGTGCCTGGAAAACCTGCGCAGGAACGGGAGGGAACGCTATTTTGCATAGAACAATAGAACGGTTCATCCGTACGCAAGGAACAGGCGCAGCAAAACAACCTAAACGGCAAGCCGAGATATGCAAACAGCAGTGTGAAAACTGCCCATAGTGACCCTAAAACGTAGGAACAATAAAAAAGAAGAAACAAAGAAAAGGACAAAACAACGAGGTCTTTAACGCAGCTTGAAATTTATTTACCAACATGTATACAAGGCGATGGTTGTCAAATAATTTTCAAAATAAAGATACAGCTAATGACGTCAAGTTCTTTGACGAGTACTCATCCTCAGACTGACGAAGGAAAACCCAAAGGTGAAACAGGAAAGACGCACGTAGACCAGTCAACTCTCGAAACAATTTGCTACCGTCCAAGTGGCAACTGGATGAGCTCACTGAAATTGATTCGATCGGGGTCTGCGCAATAGCAGACCTCTGCTCTTTCCTTGCCCGCGTGCCACACCTGTCAGCACGCACAGCCAACGGCAGGTCTTCGGCCAAGGCCAGCTGCTTAATAAGGCGCTGCGACGACCCAGGTAGTACCTTGGGAGCGCCGATAGACACACACAGGCTATTGATCGCCAGGACTTTGGGACTCGCCGAAACACACCTCCGTTGGATGGGATGCGCTTGACTGGCTTGTCACGTCAAGCCTAGCTCGGGCAATGACCGCTCTCAGTGACATATCGCCAGACTTCAAAAGTAAAGAAAAAGACCGGGACAAAAAAGACGATATGTGTCCTCTTTTCACTAAAAACCCCGAGACTGGAAGGGAAGGCACGGACAAATACAAAATCCGTCCCTTCTCTTCCAAGTCTAGGGGTTTTTAAGCCAGATGTTTAACCACCCCCAGCTCGTTTGCGCCCTTGCCTCCTGTTCAATGTGTCCTCTTTTTTTTTTTTCTTTTTTCGTTTTGTGCGATATTTATTTCTTCAGAAATCATTAACAACACCCTCTTAAGTGTGGGAATTAAGGCGTAACAAAAGGTGCGAGCGACCTGGACAAGAATAATCCGTGGAGAGGGGGAACAAGAAGGACAAACTCTTCGCAATGTCGAGAATATTCGCCTTGAACCACTCACTATTCGTCCACGCCTAGTGGGAACCGGCGCCTATCGCGGAAAATGCTCTCCGATATTTTGCACAAGATGGCTACTGCGCATGTTTAGTAGGCGAAGATGGCAGAATTGGTAATGTTCTTAGAAAGTTTTATGAGCCCAAATAAACTAGATTTTCAACGACAAAAAAAAAAAAAAAAAAAAAAAAAAAAAAAGAACACATTTAGTTTTAACTTTATTTCAATTATTTCCTCTCGGGAGAGTCGAGGGCACAGCGGAAAGGCCCGAATGCCCGTACTGCTTGGTCCGCATACATCCATGCCAAGTTAAAATATACACAAAACAACAAAATAACGAGATAGCACAGGGGAAAGGTGCAGATGGCTTGTCAGTGGCGAAGTATTGGGGAGGAGATCGAACAGTCACGCCTCTAGCGGCATGCTTCAACTGTGTGGCGAACAAACTGAATTTTGTTGCTTGTTGTTGATCAGAGAAATCTATGATAACGAAACGAAGGCCGCTCCTCGTGCGTCAAAAGCACCGGTCAAAGCGAAGCGCTCGTGCCAAGACCGCACACTATACTCCGTTTCACCTCATGTTGTACCGCAGACAAGGCTAGAAGCGCGAGCTCATAGCCTTGAGAGCTTGTGCCGCCGAGATGTGCCCTGAGCAAGGAGCTCGCGCTTGTAGCCTTTCCTGCGGTACATTATAAGGTGAAACACAGTATAGTAATTGTTAAACAATAATCGCCCAAGTATGCAGGCAGCTAGAAAAACTTAAAATGTAAAGCGCTCGAAGGAGGAAGGCGCTGACTCGCAATGCAACATAAAAAAATATGGCCAGATTTTGAAATTGATGCAGCCGACCAGAAAAATGTATAAAATAAGTTTCCACACAAGGGACGTTCCATTGTTTCATTCGCAATTAAAGGGGGAAGAAACATTTAAGGGGGAAAGGTCAGTCGGCAATTAAATAAAAAAAAAATGCCAAAAACGTGGCGCAACACGTTTCGTCGTCTGCTCGAAACAAGGAGAAAACAGACTGTTCGAGACAAGCAAAAGCAGACGACCGCAAAATCATGCGCACCGGAACCGGTCTGTTCTACCATATCCGCAACGTCACGCCTCGGCGAGCCACCTACAAAAGCGATGCGCGCGCAGGCACGGTCGCGCAGACGAAAAATACATGAATGAAAAAAGATGCCCCTTCAAGCACACAAACAGAGCACGAAAATTATATCACCCCAGCCACGCAGTCTGAGCAAGTGGGAACCGCAGGCGGAAAAAAAAAAAGTCGAAACAAGAACTGGCCCCAAATAAAAGCCATTGTCCGCAAACGTGTTTTCTTTTTTTTTTGTGAGCGTAGACGACGCGCGCAGCAAGAATCGTAGTACTAGGGTGGCTAGAGAGTACTAACATGTAAGAGATAAGAGGTGCTTTGTTGTCGGCATACAACTGAACAAACCGGCAAGGTCGGAGCAACCTCGTATCAATTCGCACGGGCTTTGTTTCTTTTTTAACCTGATACATACTTTCTGCGTGCATGAAAACAATGACAGGTCTTCGTTCTCTAGCAACAGGGTCACTGACATGTGCCTGGGGACAGCGAATGTAGTGGAGTGCTCGCGAGCCGAAGCTCGTAACGTTTCTGCGTTCCCGACCAAGTGTTGGTGCAGCGGTGGTTGGTGATGCAGAAACTGATTGTAGCCAACGAGACCCCGGCACTGCCACAGAGCCAGTGTTTCAGAGGAAAAACTCTTCCGGCAACATCCTTCCCCTCTAACCGAAGGGGCAAAAGCAATTTGTAGCCGGGTTTAGAACGCAGGAGCTAGGCTAGGCCTTGAAAGCGGTGACTGGCGTGGGCTGCCGACCAGCTAGTCTACCTACGCCGAAGTTCGAAACGTCATATCGAAGCCCGTGCAGGTAATTTCCTCCTTTTTAAGGAGCGAGTTTCTCTTCCTCTGCGAAGCGTCTGGAAGCCTCTCTACGTGAGCCGGTGAAGAGTGAAGCGGAGCGGTTGCGTGAATCAACCACTAAAACAAATGTTTGGGAAGATTCCTTTTACCTACCGAACGGCCACACGGACGCTTGTGTCGTCCCCCATGAAGTTGCTCGAAGACTATTCTTGGTCGGGCGCTAATCCATACCGCAAGGCAAAAGATGGTAGCATCGTGGAAGCAATGAAGGACACGACCAGAACGCAACCAAGCAAACACCGGCGCACAATGAGCAGAAGGCGAACTGCAGGAGACCACATTCAAGGGTGCACGCAGGCGCGTGCTCTGTGCGGAGAGAAACACACACACGACCGATCTGTTCCCGTTGCCGCTGCTGCCGCTGCCACCACCGGACACAGAGCGAGTTGCGCGATCGGAACACGGATGGCGCCACCATACAAGTGTACAGCAGCGCTCGCGTGGTCGGAGGTGCTCATTACTTAAAAACGAAACAAAACAATATTGAATCAAACTTCATTCAACTGTAGTTACAACCGTATATTATTTCACTAAATACAAATTAAATACTCCTAAAAGATAACATATATTTTTTAAAAGTTCATGTCAACATCACACTCTCGAATAGTTGCTTTTTATCTGTTTTTTGCGTTTCTAAAACGAAACCGCTGCCTGTGCGCATGCGTGCTTGCGCTGTGCGCGTTCTGAAACCGGTGGACCGTTGTGGAGGCGTCCGTGGGTCAGCTCGGTTGGCTCGGTGTTTTCGCGCTTTTGCTCGCTTTCGGTGCGTCAAGCGTCGGCGCCTCGATCATCGCATTGCACGAGCTTCGCACTTTCAGGCAAGCGGAAAGCTTTTCGTGTCTTTGAACCACCTCATTCGTGCGGTTACGCAAAGTTGTGCCCAAGCAGCGTCGGGGACAAGAGGCACCAGTTCGTTCGGATCCCAACTAACAACGGTGAATTAAAACTTGTTGGCCTAGTTGGTTCATGATGCAGTCTAGAGGTTTTTGCGCGACACAAGGGACAATCACAAGCGAGTAGAGTAGTTTGCGCTTGTCCGTGTTTACTCGCTTGTGATTGTCCCTTGTGTCGCGCAAAAACCTCTAGACTGTAACGACGATGAGTTTGAAAGTTTTCACCCCAATTGAAATTTTTCCTAAGCTGATCTTCCAGCTACAAATTGCACCATTTGAGGGTTTTCTACTCTTTTAAGTAATTAAATATATCGTTTCATTTTTGAAATTTACAAAATGTCACCGTGATTTCATTGTGACGCACACATTTCGGCGAGCGTTCGCACGTGGTTTTGTGGATGAAGACCGTCCTGCATATATTTTATGATCTGTAGACTACTGTTGGCGAAATATCAGCTCCTCTACCTCTCGTCAATTTCGTGCACAGCAGTGTAGATCACCGTCGAGTAAATTGTAGTCATACTCTATAGAAATATTATTCTCCCAGTTTTATAATATTTCAGAGTTCATCTTATAATATCTGCCCGTTTTTATTAATGTTTCTCGTGTAGATTCTTTTACAGCCCTGCGACTAGTTTTGCCACGTTTAATTTCTTTCAGAAACAAATAGAAAGTTGGATAGTAAAATGATTTAATTTTTAAAGACACTTTTAAAATCTCGAAAGATTTACGCATAGAAGGACGGAATGCAGACAGCAGAGCTTGATCGCGAGATGTGCTATCCGTCCTTCCATGTGTAATTCTTTCGAAAGTTTTTACACTTCCCAACGCACTCCCCTCAAAACAATTAAAGCTCGCGTTAGGCATTTTTTTCTCGTTTGTTGCACATAAAATAGCATCATTTGCATTATGTGTTCTTTTTTTATGTATCCATACAGATTCTCAAGGCATAAAAATCACTCCAACAAGCCTCAGGGACAGGGAACCCCAACAGACAAAAGGTAGTATCCGTGGTAACTTTTTTGTGAAGTGCACCTGATTGCTGGCCAACCTATCAAGCTGAATATGTAACCATCAGCATGCTAAGTTCCGCCGTAGTGATCTATGCAGTCTAATCTACGATCAACTGTAATGTAAAACGAGAGTGGCTGGGGCAAAGACAAAAACAAAAGGATAGTAGGAGCAGCCCTATGCAATGTTTCATAGCCCTGTTTCTCTTCTGCAAGTGTAAGTGATGTGACGAGACAAACTAATGTGTTCCTACATTGTCCTGTGCAGATCCTGAGAGGATAGAGAACACACATACAGCAAAAATGAGAAAGAACAATGCAGTGGCTGGTCCATCCCATGGGCATCATAGGATCTCGGTGGCCACACCAAGAAAACCTGGTTCAACTCGTGGTTCAACTTGACGGCGCGAGCGACAGGTATCGGAAGCTCATCAAAAGGCCAAGAGAAATGAGAAATAACAAAGTGGTCTACAGAGAGCTAGGTCCACGCATTATTAAGTCTCTAAAGATTTTGGTTCAGGTCTGTAAGTAAGCAATGAATAAGTTTGCCTGAGTTACAATGCATTGTGTTAACTGTTTATTTCCATGGACCAGTCAGAATGACACGAGCTTTCAACTAGGCATGAAATCTTTTGGCTGTGCTTCTTAAGACCCTCGAGAGACAATGTTGTCCACTGCGTCAGCAGGTTGCTCCTTGCACGACTTTTATGGAGCAAGATCATAGACGAACAGAAGCCTCTGAGCATCCACTTTGTTTAGACACGTTGTTAGCCTGCTGGTGGCCAACAACCTCTAGGCAGTTAATTTTTTTTTTTAGGGTGGGAGGGGGAGGGGGGAAATATCTGTTGCTTCGAACCAGTGATTCCAGGACCTTTGGCAGCTAGAATTCAAACTACGTACTTGGAGAGTTTCACTCTTTAAGATCTCAAGTAAGATCTCAATATCTGACCCACTAAAATTTTGCATTATTGTCTTATTACACAGGTTGAAGAATTGATGTTTTATCATAATATATGTTCAGGTTGGTATTTGAGATTCCACAACCGATAACCATTTAAACATCTTCTTAGACATACCTCACCAATAGGGCTGTTTGCATACAATTCTCCAGCAAGGCTGCATATTTACTTCACACTGGGTTTGCTTCTATGTATACCACATATATCAGAAATTATGATTATTGTGTTTTCATGCCACGGAAACAGACATTTCTGTTTGCTGTTACAGTGTTTTCTCTTTAACATGGACATCGACAGTTTCCAAAACAATTCTCCATAATGTTGGTCATCCATATTCTTGAATCACTGCCAAGATCACAAAGAATAAACAATGAACGTGGTATGTTGTTTATTTTTGTCATCTGCAACTGGGAAAGGGAAAGAACTGCAAGTGATTCAGGCTGGAAACCCCTGAAAATTGTAACCATTGGGTACATTCCGTAACCGCGAAGAGCTTTACTATTCTTTTTTGCCTCACTAATATATGTTTCCCCCTTTCTTTGCGTTTGTTTCTACAGAGACCACAATAAAAAGATAAAAACATGCATTTATCCATTTCGCTCCTGTAATGTCTAGCGCGGCGCCACTCGCGCATGAACAGAAGAAGGTCGTTTTGCCTGCGAGCGTCGCGTGATCTTTGAGCGCGCGAACTCATAGAATTGCGAGCGACTGATGGCGCAAGCTAGACTCTGATGTCCTGGAAAATATACCAACGAGTATTCGGGCTGTAGTGTCTCCTTACTACGCGGATACGAAACTGGCGGCGAGAATTAGCCTACGACGCCTGGAACCTCCAACCACGAGCCATGTCTACTCAAGGCAAAATGGAAGCCTTTTCAGGCAAGTCATGGGCCTTGTGGATTGAACGTCTGGGTTTCTACTTCGTTGCGAATGGCATCAGCGCCATGGACAAGAAGCGAGCACTCCTACTCACGCTCTGCGGTCCCGAAACTTACGAGATCGTACGCGCGTTGGTGGCACCCGGAGGGCCCGGGGACGTTGAGCTTGACGAACTCGTGACAATCCTCGGCGCTCACTTTGATCCTCGACCGTCAACGGCGAGGCCAACTACCGGACGAGTCGATCAACAGCTACGTTGCGGCGCTCTAACATCTGGCAGGTGACTGTAATTTCGGCATCCTGGCTTCCGCAATTACGCGTGTTACATCGACGACGGCGCCACAATCGGCATCCCAGAAACCAACGTCGCAACAGGCATCCGGTGCAGCGGCTACGGCTGGACAACCAGCAACGCCACAACGGGACACCAAACTGCCGTTGCACGTGATGTTGCGTGACAGGTTTGTCTGCGGCGTCCGCGACGAGCTTCTGCAGCAGCGCCTGTTCGCAGAAAAAGATTTAACGTTCTCGAGCGCCTTAGATATAGCCATCCGAGCAGAGAGTGCCTCGAAACAACAACAAAGCATCAAGAAAAAAGAAGACCTCCAGATCAACAAGACAGGGGCAGCAAACAAAGACGCTGCTTCATGCAGCAATCGACAGTGCTATCGATGCACAGGTGCAGCATGACCCACAGGGATGCCGATTCAAAAATACAAAGTGTCGCTACTGCAAAAAGCTTGGACACATCGAAAAAGCATGCATTGCGAAGAAAAAGCAGCAAGGCAAACCAGCTGACAAGAAAACTCAATGTTGTAGCGACTGAAGTGGTGAGCCAGCTAACGTGCTCATCTAGATGTTCCTGTTACGAATTGAACAAGTTACACGCGCCAGGGGGCGTTCCGAAGTTCCATGGAACTTCAGGGTAAGCCACTTCAGTTCGAGGTCGACTCTAGCGCTGCATGTTCGTTGATCAGCGAAGAAACATTTCGCTCAACTTGGCCCAAAAATCCACCCAAGCTCACGAAAGACGACTTGGAACACTTGGAGCGGCCTAAAACTTTGGTGATGAAAGGATCTGGCTGCAGCCTTTTGGGATTGGTTCGACGTGCTTCACATCCGAGTGAAAGGAATCAACCAGGTGCGGCATGAGACCGCACCACCAGAGGAAGTCCTTCGACGACATCCTAATGGGTTCAAGGACCACATCTCTGGAATTGGAGCTAGAGGAAGGAGCTTCACCGAAATTTTGCAAAGCTCGGCCGGTTCCTTTTGCGCTCCGGTCAGCGGTAGCAGACGAGCTCGCCAACAGTTGCAGAGCCAGCCCAACACTCTGCATGGGCTACGCCGCTGGTCCGAAAGAAGAGTGGAGCCATCCGACTTTGTGGCGACTACCGGAGCACAGTAAAAGCCGCATCAAAAAAAAAAATAAAAAAAAAAAAAAAGCTATCTGCTATTTAGAACAGAAGTGCTGTCGAACCTCAGAGGAGCAACTGTTTTCTCAACGCTGGACTTGTGCCAAGCATACCAGCAGCTAAAGGGGACGGACGAGACGGCAGGAGTACTGACAATCAAAACGATGAAAGGACTGTACAGGGTGACGCGACTTCTGTTCGGGATCTCAGCAGCGTCCGCCA